TTACAAAACTTAACCAGCAAGTCTTGCTGAGCTAAGGCAACTAACTATCAATGAATCTCGAATAATTTCTAGACAATCATGGAGAAATGTGGTAGATGCCTTCTACCATCGATTAGGGTGCTATCAACTCACAAATTGAGCACATTTTGAACACTTAATAACATAACTACTACGTTAAAAAATGTTCTAAACTATCAATTGTTACGTTTTAATGTATTTGAAAACAGTTAGTATTAAAAAATTTATTGAAACAATTTAGGCGTTGCCAGACTTCGGTTTTATGTATTTATGACCTTCCAGATTACATAAAATCATAAGTGTTACATATGGTTGAACTCATATTGAATAGGAGATTCCAATAATGACTGAATATACAGGGTAATGTATTTGAAAAACCAAAGTTATTAATAATATAAGAAAAACGGCAAATCTGGCAACATTGTAAATATCAAATATGGAATCTCCGTATCCCAAAATAGATGTACCTCAAATTTTGTACAATTATGATTAGCATTTTACGAGATAATTAGCCGTTTCCAGACTTTTGGACCACTCTGTATATGTTCGCATTGAAATTCAGTAAACTATAGGAAAAAAGGCTGTTATAGCTACCCCTAAATTTAAGTGACCTAACCATACTAAGAAAAACAGAGGATGTCCCATTACTCAGGGCATCTATAGTATAGTGAGGGACAAGATCTATGCAAAATTTTAAAAACCGACCTACTGGTAATCCGATATTGATCCTTTTTGTAACATAGACCCCAAGAGAGACATTTACAGAGTTATACTAATCTGTATCCAACATTTAAATAAAATTATCGGAGAAAGTGTTGAATTTTGAATTATTAATTTGTGTACTTAAATGTTTTTACTAATTGATCGAAATACTGATTATTTTTAAAGTAAACTACCTCATAATATAGTATTTAGAAAAATTTACCTTCACCCTTTTTTTAAATTAAGAGTGGCAAAATAAAGTATTTTTTCAGTTACGAAAATAAAAAGTTTCTTTTGGTGGATTTACAAGTTTTTTATTAACCGTGCTTCGTTTTTTATTAACGTAAGTTCGTCAATGAACACTTAATATTAATATATTATACAGTAAGGTCCTAAAGTAACAGATAAATGTAATTTCTACATAATTATAAAGTAGATGAAAACTACTGAATCAGGTCGATTTTTACACACAAAATATACATATACAATATACAAATCATCAGTAAATATATCTACCACCGTCCTTATATAATCGAATTAACAAAAACACCAATAATTTTTTTCACACTTTATTTGCATTAATACCTAACTTAAAAGATTTAGATGTAGCAACTAACTTCATGCTGTGAATATGCGCGTACTTCATACTGTGAATTTTATAAAAATTCACTCTCATAAATTTTTCTCAATCGCGTCTAAAGAAGTATAACTTCAAAAATAGTTTGTATTTATTTACATATCACATGCGATGCCACAAAAAGTTACCCATTGGTTTTTTTACGATTAAAAATTAAATAGTATACTAGCCACTTGGGAAATTCACATTCATTTGGTTTCTTCCAGTTAGAGTTAACAGTTATTCCAACTCATCGTCATTATCGTTCTCTTCATTACTCTCAGCCAAATTAATAATAATTTTCTTCAAGGCTGGGACATTTTTCATGTAATCTTTTTCAATCTTCATTACATGTTCTATTGCATTTTGCCAGTTTTGAGCACTGATATTTTTGAACTCTGTTTTTATTAGTTCGACAACACTTTGGGCATCTTTAGAGATGTGTTGTTGTTCCGGATATAGTTTTTAATTTAGCCCATAGTAATTCTATGGGATTCAACACACAGTAATATGTAGGTAATCTTAAAACCATACAGAGTGGCCCAAAAGTCTGGAAACGGTCAATTATCTCGTAAATTGCTAGTCATATTTGTACAAAATTTAAAGTATACCTATTTTGTGATTCGGAGATTCCATATATGATATTTGCAATGTTGCCAGATTTGTAGTTTCTCTGATATTACTAGTAACTTTGGTTTTTCAAATTCATCACCCTGTATATTTATTCATTATTGGAATCTCCTTTTCAATACGAGTTCAACCATATGTAACACTTTTGATTTTATTTAGTCTGGAATGTCTTGAATACATAAAACAGAAGTCTGGTAACGCGTAATTGTCTCAATAAATTTTTTAATACTTACTTACTATTTTTAACTACATTAAAACGTAACAATTGATAGATTACAACATTTTTTAACCTAATGGTTACTTTATCACGTGTTCAAAATGTGCTCCATTTGTGAGTTGACAGTACCCTAATCGATGGTAGAATGCGTCTACCACATTTTTCCATGATTGTCTAAAAATTATTCGAAATTCATCGAAAATTCGTTGCCTTAGTTCTGCAAGACGTACTGGTTTAGTTTTGTAAACTGAATTTTTTAAGTATTCCCAATAAAAATAATCTTTAGGATTGAAATCAGGTAAACGTGGAGACCATTCAATTCTACCTTGTCAACTGATCAATTGTCCGGGAAATTTCTTGACATAATTTCCACGTTTCGAGAACGGTGGTAGAGTAAAACACACTGCATATTTAGAAGTTTGAATCTAAACACAAATGTATGTCAATATTGATAGAAACCACCGCCTGGGGGCAAAAATGCTGGTAATGAGTTTACCTATCTGTGGTGATGAGTTTACCGATCTCCAAAGGAGATCGGTGATCAGTTTACTATGTCTCGGAGGGTCTAACAATTTTATGGGGGCCATAATTCTTTCTTGTGGATTTCGGTCTTGTGGTTGTTAAATCTGGCATGGAAGGATCCATTTTCTACAAAATGATTGATAAACTAAAGTAAATTTCAATGAATAATTCACGAAGGTAATCTTTTTTAAGATATGTTTTAAAAAAACTTATTTTTATTTTTGTACGTATTGTATTATTTGTGTTCACTTGTTCGAGCTATAATATGGATATGGATTACGAAGAAAAATATAAGGTGATTTATTACCGATATAATCTCAAAATAAAAAGTCAGGTCATGGAGCTGGGGTATCTACATTGTATAAATGACGTGTACCCTATCTTCCATGCTATGGCATGCTGGACGAGCCATACAGTCTGTAGTCAACACTCCGAGGTGTGAGCGGGAACACAAATTGTATCAATACTCATACGCTTATGAAACGCACCTGGCGGATCATAAGGGCCTTCACATTTTACTCTGCTTCAACTTGTCTTGAGTAAAATGTCTTTAATCTTTCCTATCAGCCTCGCTTGGCTAACTCTTGTTTTTTTTTTACCCCGAATGGCTATTAGGTTTCCGAGGGCAGACAGGTCACTACATTTACTCCTACTACATACGCTTCACAAATCCTGGTCCTCCAAGTCTGGGGGTTTGAACGATGGGCCAGCACCCCTTCTTCTAGAAAAAAAGTTATTTGCTAAAAATTTCAATCAAGAGCCTCGGAATAAGGACGGAAGCAAAAGACGACGATTGCTACGAAAATGGACTATGAGATTGGCCACATGGAATGTACAAGGTCTAAGAACCAAGAAAACTGAAGTTTTTCAAGAACTAGAACGACAACAATTAGACATATGCGTGCCTACAGAAACAAAAAAGAAAGAAAAGGGAAATGAAATCAAGAACGACTATATTCATTTATACAGTGGAGTTGAAAAATCATTAAGAGCAAAAAGAGGTGTGTCTATAGCCGTGCATACAAAACTCAAAAACAATATCAAGAGTTGGGAAGAAATAGACGAGCAGACCATTATAATGGATCTTGAGAAACATGGGGAGACGATAGTTATAATAGGAGTATCGTGGTGCCGGATGCGGATCTGACCATTATATGGTGGTCGCAACAATAACCATACACTACAGGAAAGGAAACAAGAACAAAATTGAACAGGAGAAGGTAGCAGCTTCCACAAAGGTAAGATATAATATTGATAGCCTAAAACAAGAATCAGTACAATTCCTCTACAAACTTAGACTAGCCTTAAAACTAACTCACTTAACTCGAAGAGAAACAACCGAAAAAGACTATCAAGATATAAAAATTGCATTCGTTAGGCGGCCAAAGAGGCATTGGGGTACGAAGAAGCTGACAAAAGAAAAATTCGTGAGTGGTGGAACGAAGAAGTAGAAAAATTAATTAAAGACAAAAAAAAGCTTATCAAACATGGCTATCCACGAAAGACTCAGAAGACCGTAGAATTTACAGCAGACTCAACAGGGAAGCAAAGAAGGAAGTCGCTAAAAGAAAAAACGAAATGCGAAGAGATGGATCGATGCTTAGGAAGAACCAAAGTGACACAAGCTTGGAAATTCATAAAAAGTATTAGAAAAGAAAGAAAAGATGAGGTAAATATAAACCTGGTTTAAAATAAAAAGTGGGAAAAATATTACGAAACGCTATTAACAGTAAGTAGGAACGAATTTATGGAAAGACCTGACCATATCTCAATGACAGAAAACTCAGAGGTGCATAAGTTAAACAAAGAAGAACTGAAAAACGAATTGAAACAAATGAAAAATAGAAAAACACCCGGGCCTGGAGACATTTTGCAACAAAAGTTTACTAGATTGCAATATATGACAAATAAAGACATAATCCACGAAATCCGTTCTGGAATAGAACAGAAAACTTGAAATTTGATGTCAACTATTGCCTAATATTGTATTTTTCACTATTGAAAAAACAGAGCGTCATATAGAACAATCAATTAATATAAAATTAGCAAACGCTGAGTAAAAACAACTTTTTTCACTTAAAGTTAAATACCCCCCACAAATCTCTTAGAACAGTTTCTATGTAACTTGAGACAACAAAATAAATCTTTATGCTAACAACGTCATAGCTTTTCTTTTCAAAAAACAAAAAACAGCTGTTATGCACACTTTGTCAATATTTGCCATTCTAATAATATTACTCATATTAAAATTTCTCAAATCTGCTAGGAAAACAATTTTGTGATATATATAGTTTAGCCTTTTTACATGTACTTCATTCAATATTTAACGAGTTTGTCTAACTTTGACTAAACGAAAAATACTGACATTAAAATAAAAAAAAATGAAATTTACAATTGCTTTTTTGGTTTTGGCTCTTGCTGTCTGCGCATACTCTCAAGAAGAAGCAGCACCTTTAAGTCCAGGTAATGAATTAGATATATAGTATATATTTTTAAAAACTTTTTTAAAAATATTTAAAAATAAGTTTAAAAAAACTTTAATAGTTTTTTATGTAAATATAATATGATATCTAAGTCTTATTTAGTAAATACTATTTGTCAAGGATTAATAACTATTTCGCCGTTTTTAATTTATTATTGATTCTTCCAAAAGTGCATTTATTTTGTAATCCAATTAAAAACAAAAGCTGTTAAAATCCTTTGCTTAAAGGCGCCACTGTTTATACGAGTTGTTTTTTCGTTATATTTTTATACTTATCCTTACTTATATAATTGCAATTTTTGCAGAACAAGTTATAGATATCATCAAAGAGAACAATCCCGACGTGGCATGTATTAACTTGGAATGCAGACTTTCCTGTAGCAAGCAAGGTTTTAGATCCGGATATTGTCTTGCTGGAGCAAGCTGCACCTGTGTAGGACCTTTGGCAGCTTAAAAATAAGATTTTAGAATATTTAAATTCGTTATTATTTCTGGTGATAAAAATGATTTGATTTGGAGTTAATGCAATGTCAGTATTATTAAATAAAATATAAACAAATTTTTTAGTTTTATTAAAGTAACCCAGACGCTCTGGAGTCTAGTGAATTCGACCCGCGACATAGTTTTTAATAACCCCTACAATTACACATAATATGACAACATGTATTTTTTGCGTAGATTGACTAGAATAAAGGTATCTTCTGATTGCAATCTAAAAACGGTATTATTTATTGCTTCTAATACTAACTTTGCACGTTTGCACGCAATTTCGCGTAGGCATAATGCCGTAGAAGATGTATGTAAATCGGTAGAATAACGATGTGGAGTTTAATGCGCACTTTGGTTCGGTCTAGCGATGAACACACTATACCAGCTACTAAATTCCACTGAGTCTGGTTTTAACAATAAGAATATTAATACTGTTGTCACCAAGCTTGATCATTGGCTGTATATGGATCATTTAAAATTATTAGCTTTCACTTGAAACCACCTAGATCAAATGCTGAAAACTGTAGAAACATTCTCAAATGATATCAGTATGTACCTTGGAATAGAAGTGCCGTATTCTGAATAGAATAAAGTCGAAATAATGGTTCAGCCAGGAAAATTGTATATGTAAGATGGCCAAAAATTGAGGCTATGGGTGAAAATACCATGTATAAATATCTGACAGTAGAGCAAACGTGGCGGTCTCAGCTTGCGTAGAGGAGGGACTGTGAACTGAGTAGGGGTCCTTCAGCACTTTACGCAAGACATACTGGGCGGGGAAGTCCTCAACCCCGACACGGCGCGTCCCAATGGCTGATAGGGAACGATCCTGTAGATATGCAGGACAGGTATGAATAAGGCTTAGCCAAATAAATACCCGCGGATCAACTGAGGACATGACACAGGTCAGCAGCTGTGTTGTTAGTGGCCCGTGGCTGAGGAATAAAATTCCTGACAGGTGCGAAACCACAGAGTCGCAGGCGGCAATCAAGTAGATTTAACCGGCTGTGATACTGCGAACACTCACCAACCCGTCTGGCAAGCGTGGTGTTTTAATGCCAATATACCCCTTAAAAACGCGATGTCAGTTTTTAAAACAAATACAGATCTACCCCAGGTGAGTAGGATGCGTCCAGAATCTCACACTGATTTATCAGTCTGTCCCAAGGATTCTGGGGCGGACAAAAAACTGACTATACGGAAACCCAAACAACCCGTAACCCTCTACGTTAGTACATACAATGCAAGAAGTCTACTGTCCGAGGAAAGATTCACTGAAATGGAAACTGAAATGAATAAAATAAAATGGGATGTCATAAGTATTAGCGAAGTTAGAATGAGAGGTGAAACTTTGAAAACACTCAAATCAGGGCATATATTCTATCAGATTGGTCCTGAAACTACATCAGTTGGAGGAATCGGTTTCTTTGTCCATAAAAATCACGCGAACAAGATAATAAACATCAAAAGTATATCATCTAGAGTGGCACATCTTATTCTGAAGCTGAACAGTAGGTATCAACTCAAAATTATCCAAGTATACGCTCCAACAACAGACCATACAGACGAAGAAATTGAAATGTTTTATGACGATGTATCCACTGCGCTTGATGATTCTCGTACTAAATTCACAATTTTATGTGGCGATTTCAACGCAAAAATAGGGGTAAAAGAAGCAGATCTAGAAACATCTTTAGGACAATTCGGTTCCCCAGGAAGAAATGATCGAGGAGAAAAGCTACTAGGATTCCTACTCCAGAATAACTTATTCAACATGAACAGCTTCTTTCACAAAAAGATGCACAGAAGATGGACTTGGGAAAGTCCAAACGGTAGAACAAGGAACGAAATCGACTACATCATAAGTGATCAAAAACAAATAATTAAAGATGTAACAGTACTCATCAACTTCACCACAAACAGCGACCATAAGATGATACGAGCGAAAGTTCAAATCAATATAAAAAGAGAAAGGAATATAATGATTAAAAATAAATTTATGGTATCTGGACACCCCCATTAGATATCAACCAATATCAGACACATATCAATAATAAGCTTCTATTGCAGGAAACCTCCGCTAACGATATTAACGACTTGAATAACTGCATCATAAACGCCTTACAAGAAAGTCACCGAGTGCACTGTCCTAAAAGAAAATCAGATAGTAAAATAAGTCCATATACTGAAACGCTCTTGGATCAAAGAAGACAAATGAGAAGCGATAAGAATGTAGATATCAACATTTAAGAAAAATGAACAAAACTGTTTCGAAAGCAATTAGGAGAGATTTAAGGAAATTTAATACCAATTATATTAAACGCACTATAGAGGAAAATAAAGGAAAATTCATAAATTAAGAAACAAGCAAAATGAAATAATATCACGTAGAGACGAGTTAATACAGGTCGTTGAAGAGTTTTACGAGACTTGTATAGAAGTAGACGAGAAGATAAAACAGGAATACAAACAGCCATTTCAAAGAAGATCAAGAATCAAGGTTCCGAACTAATGCCAGAGATAAAGCTAGATGAGAAAAATAACAAAGCCCCAGAAGAGGATGAAATCGTAATAGAAGCTATCGTAAATGGAGGAGATATGCTATTAAATAAATTAAGGAAACTATTCAATCTATTTTTGCAGCAAAGAGAGGTGCCCAAAGAGTGGAACAACGCTACAACCATCCTTTTGCATAAAAAAGGAGATAGAACGGACCTAGAAAATTATAGACCTATTAGCCTGTTGAACCACATATACAAGCTCTTCACTAGGGTAGTGACATCAAGATTGGAGAAAAAATTAGATTTCTACCAACCGAGAGAACAGGCAGGATTCCGCTCAAATTATGGTACCAATGATCACCTCCACACAGTAAAAACACTCATTGAAAAATCTATAGAATATAACAAACCTCTTGTTCTCACTTTCATAGATTTTCATAAAGCGTTCGACACGATCGAATTAGACAGCCTTATAGAAGCAATGAATGACAGCAGGATTGACCATAGGTATAGTGAGTTTATTTATAATATTTACAAAAATGCCACTATGACTGTTAAAATAGACAATAAAATCCGACCAATAAAAATAAATCGTGGAATAAGGCAAGGAGATACATTGTCGCCGAAATTATTCATAACGGCATTAGAATATGCCTTTAAGATGATCAATTGGGACCACAGAGGAGTAACGATAGACGGCGAAAAGCTTAACCATCTCCGTTTCGCAGATGACATTGTCCTTATCACAGATAATTTAGGAGAAGCTACAGATATGATAAACGAATTGGATTTTGCATGTTCGAAGGTGGGCCTGAGAATGAACTTGACCAAAACTAAGTTTATGACAAATTTGGTCCCCAATAACTATTTGACTATTCAAGACAAAGTGGTAGAACTGGTGGAGAAATATACTTATTTGGGTCATGAAATAAGAATCAGCAGGGATAACCAAACATATGAGATCCAAAGACGAATTACTTTAATATGGGCAGCCTTTGGAAAACTGCGAGACACACTTAGGGCCAACATACCAATCAGCCTCAAAAGAAAAGTGTTTGACCGATGCGTATTACCGGTCATGACCTATGGGCGGAAACTATGACTTTAACCAAGACCACGGCTTCGAAACTGAGAGTGGCACAGAGACGAATGGAACGGTCTATGCTGGGAGTGACGTTGAGGGACCGAATAAGAAACGAAGATCTGCGAAGAAGGACGAGTATTACTGATGTTGTGGAACGCATAGCGGAACTAAAATGGAACTGGGCAGGCCATGTAGCGAGAATGCACGATTCACGATGGACGAGCAAAATTACAAATTGGAGGCCAAGAGCAGACAAACGCAGTAGAGGAAGACCACCTACACGTTGGGCCGACGACATCAGGCGTATCACTAAAAATTGGCGACAAAGAGCACAACATCGTGAGGAATGGAGGAGTTTAAGGGAGTATCTTTCGAGTTCGTACGACGAGTAAGGCAGTTAAATCATATCTTAACATCAAAAATGCGTTTAAAAAGACTGCTCAGCACTTAGCTACTCATTTAGTATTATACAGAATCAAAAAGGATATAAAAGGTCTTCAGCGGGTTGTAGTAAAACTTCTCAAGCAAGCAATTTAATTAAACCCACGCTATGAGACATGTTCACCCTAAGAATTATGTTCGGTTGCAACAATTTATAGCGGTTAACGGGTAGGAACTCCTTTGGAGTCCGTTGGATTTTATTTGATGGTCCTATACGGGAAAGTAAATTATTCCCTGCCTTCCAGATTTCAGGAGATTTTGGACCCGATAAGCTAGCACCTGTTAAGGGTCCCTTCGATAATGGCGGAGTTGGCAACCTCTGATTTTAGGAATAGTATAAGATCACCATTCTAGTCTCACCAAGATTACAAAAGTCAGTTGTCGAATTTAAAGCTGTGAACGATAGGATAGTACTCATTAAACTGGATGGCACACCACATAAACTTAATATCATACAAGTTTACGCGCCAACCAGCACATCAAATGACATAAAGATCGAGGAGTTCTACGAAAAACTGGAGACCACAATCGCTAACATACCAAATAAAGAACTAACTATAATATGTAGCGACTTTAATGCAAAAGTGGCAATACTACACAAAATGAACGACTTAAAGAATGTACTGGGAAAGTTTGGCATAGGGCAGGGAAGCGAAAGAGGAGACCGTTTAATCGAATTTGCTATCACAAACAACTACTCTATCATGAATACTCGTCTTAAAACACCATGTACGTCGACTTTATACTTGGAAAAGTCCTGGAGATAGATTTAGAAATCAAATAGATTACGTCCTCACCAATATTCGCTGGAGATTGTCCATTCAAACAGTCAGATCATATCCAGGGGCGATATGCGGATCCGATCATACTCTCCTCGTAGCTAAAGTAATGCTTAAACTTAAAGCACCCAACAAACAAACGGAGATAAAGAGGATAGAATTAAGAAAGAAAGACGACCTTCTACAGGAAGTACAGAAAAGTATGCTCTCTATTCGTAACGGAACATCACAAGGAATATGGGAGACTCT